GCATGTTGCCAACTTCGAGAATAGGCAGTCATGCATGTCCGCTGGTCACAGGCAAGATGTGGCATTGCCAACAAGCCAGACCTCTTTAAAATGACATTGTACAACGGCAGTTTCGATGAGGCAAATACGTAATCGCAATTGCATTCTATCACTTTACTTATTACCTCGTCCACCCGATTCTCTGGTTCGACTCCCGCGGAGGTTAAGTCGAGACAAATCCATCTGGATTGCCAAGTCGACGATGATTTGTGATATTAGTACACTTAGAAAGGTTAAGTATTTGTTGAATAAGTTTGATTTCGCAAATTACGAAATAAAACACATGACATTTCTTCCGCAAGGATGCAACTGTACCACGCGATTCCATTGAATTGTAATTAGCAGCAATTTCCAAATTAGTCGATATTCTTCGTATGTAAGTAGAGTTTCGAGTCTACCAGTAAATCAGTAGTATGAGATGTATTCACCCAATTTCGTTTAAGGTGATGAAGGACTGGCGGTAGAATTTTCCCACAATGCTATGAGTAGAGCTGACGTTTCTAATGAACTGCACATAGCCTTGCTTTCCCAATCGTTGTTATCTCCAGGCTGAATATATTTCACATATTAGACCGTAAGCTCGAACTCCGATTTGCGAGACAGTGGGTGAAATCGGCAATTAGACATGTTGAAGACAATCAACACTATTGCATGTCGACAGAGAGGGAATAGCTATACAGAGATTGCATTGAGGGTACGAATCACTAAATGTGAGCATGTACTAGCTCTATCGCGTTGAAGGTGGTACAGAGATTGGCAGTTGAATTTTCCCATTGAATTTGGCACAGCTTTGTTTTCTCAAAAATGTTTTCTCATCCAGACTAGAATCATCCAGCAGTGCGACTTTTACCTCTCCTGAACGGATTCTCCTATCACCCCCATCGGGACTTTAACCCGGATTGTGGTAGTGCTGCGTTTAATCGTAACACATTAACCACTATGCCATATTGCCACGAATCGCCTCTGGTCAGAGGGCAGATGTGAATTTCCAGGAAGACAGGGCGTTTTCCCAAATCACATTCTTACCTTCATTACCTTAACATCGCATAAATATGAGCTACTCATAGTCCCGAAAACCTTGTCATACCCGAAAAATAAGTACCGTATTCGAATTCTATGGAAAATGCAACTTTGCTTCAATGACAATTCCACCACAGAACATGATATGAACGAAAACTTAGTCTTCCATGACATTTGCATCTGCCCTGTGTCCCAAAGGCACTCGTGGCAGTCTGGCGTAGCGTATAACGTGTCGAGACCATAGGCTGCCCTGAAACATAACGAGTTCGAGTCCCGCTGAAGGTGTTCATAAGATCAGTTCAGGCGAGATCGAAACTGCACGCCATTCCAGTCAAGTTGAGAACTTCTTTTGAGAAATAGGACTTAATTTGACATTTGTGGGTAAAATCAGGCCTAGTCATATGATTGTGTTACTATGCAACTAACAGTTATTCATAATATTAAACAAGATATCAAACAGGATCCTTTAAAAGTCTCGAAAACCAACTTATGAAACTGAAAGCAACTTTTTTCTTTTATTAGTAGGCTTTCGAGACTACCAGTACAGCATATACATTGCATGTATTCCCCCTATTTCGTTTAAGCTGATGAAGGATTGGTAGCCTAATTGTTCCACAATGATATGAATAAATCGGAAGTTTTCATTGCATTTCACATAGCCTTGCTGCAGTTCCAACGAGACCACCAGCGAGACTCGAACCATGACACTACGGTGTGTAATCTTGACACCGTAACATGTTATCACGAGTGCATTTCTTGGAAGCCCACGCATTTCGCATCTCGCATTCTATTGTAAAAGTGTCAATGAATCAAAGTTTTATTTTTTTATAGCAATCTATTACGTTATTTGATTTTCGTGTTTAAGTAGGCTTTTCAGACTACCAGTAGATCATATATATGAATTATGTTTACATAACCTGACTTTCACACGCACAGGCTTGCATCTCATCAATTCAGAGTTACTGACACAATCTTGGTCTTCTTTTTGCTTGGGTCATGAAGCCTTTATAGAGAAGTTAGGCTTTTTCTAATCATTCTGGTATTGCGTACAGACGTTAACCCACTCACATGCACACACGCTGAGCGCAGAAGAACAGACATAAAGACAAGCAGACTGGAGTACAAGAAAACTAAATAAGCCATTTTATCGAGGGTATGAAGAGCAAGCTAGTGTGTCCTTTTGTGTGGTCGCAGTCTCCTTTCGGTGTATAGAAGTTTTTTTACCTTGTTTTCGCAACTTGGTCATGTTGGTAGGAAGACTTAGAGGAACCCACCTTGTCCGGAGTCCATTGTATGCATCATCCTTTCCAAAGTTGAACCGTGGACGTGGTACATTCCCAAACGTTTCGCCGGCATCGTCAATGAGTATCGCCA